GCAGTGCGATGCGGCGGCTAGTAAAGCGACCAAAACGCTGGCTTGCATCCATAGATGCTTCTCAAGCAAATCCCGGGACGTCATTCTCCCCCTGTACTCGGCCTTAGTGAGGCCGCAGCTGGAGTACTGTGTCCAGTTTTGGGCTCCACAATTCAAAAAGGATGTGGAGAAGCTTGAGAGAGTCCAGAGAAGAGCCACGTGCATGATCAGAGGTCAGGGAAGCAGACCCTACAATGACAGGCTGAGAGCCCTGGGGCTCTTTAGCCTGGAAAAGCGCAGGCTCAGGGGTGATCTGATGGCCACCTATAAGTTTATCGGGGGTGACCACCAGCATCTGGGGGAACGTTTGTTCACCAGAGTGCCCCAAGGGATGACGAGGTCGAATGGTCACAAACTACTTCAAGATCGTTTCAGGCTGGACATAAGGAAGAACTTCTTTACTGTCCGAGCCCCCAAGGTCTGGAACAGCCTGCCACCGGAGGTGGTTCAAGCGCCTTCATTGAACACCTTCAAGATGAAACTGGATGCTTATCTTGCTGGGATCCTATGACCCCAGCTGACTTCCTGCCCTTTGGGCGGGGGGCTGGACTCGATGATCTTCCGAGGTCCCTTTCAGCCCTGATGTCTATGAAATCTATGAAAACTAAATATTTCCACAATTTCCCTCCACATTTTTTTGTGTGCTGTATACAGTGTCCAATCACTTTAAATATACTGGATGTTGGCAGATGTTGTTTTACACTTGTACAGGAGTTACACGTCCTTTCACTGTATAGCCATTCCATATCTTATATCATGCGAACTGCATTGTTGCCAAGATTTTTCAAACAGATAATCAATGAAAGTGCTGCATACTTCATTTTCGGATGTTTTACAGATTCAAGAATCTTGCACAGCAGTACAAGTCAATGTTTCCCAATTTGGAAATAGACATAGACGGGCAACTGAAAAAACTAAAGGTAAAGATTTCGCAATTTTTGTTTTAATTTGGGGACATTTAAAAAAAAATCAAAGTTTCAAAGTAGAAAAATATTCAAATAAAAGGTAAGTCCATTCAAAAATGTCCCTGAGCTGCTTCTTATAACAAAGCCCAAAGAATTCATTCAAAATGAAAACTACACATTTGAAAAATGAAAGGACATTAAAGAAATGCATACACTCATAAATAATTATATAATACTTGGCTAGAGCAAAATGTGTCTTGCAATAGAATGTCTTCTAGTCAGGAGTATGAAAATAACCCTAACATATAGAAAGACACTGTCGTATTTTACAAAAGAAATGTAGTTTTGAGCCTATCATGTTAGGGTTACTTGTGAGTTTTCTGTCACAGATGACCACATTGTTCAGCCACTCTTCTAGCACTGTTTGGTGAAACTGGTATTTCTACTAAAACTTTCAGGGATATGCTGAAAAAATAAGACCAATGGTCCGAGATGGTGTTTATTTTATGTATGAAGCTCTTCATGGGTCCCCAAAGAAAATTCTTGTTGAAGGTGCCAATGCAGCACTACTTGACATTGACTTTGGTAAGTTAAGTAAAGGAGATTTAACTCCTGAAAGATGGTTTGTTTTGTCTTTGCATCAGCCTTGCTTAGAGTAGGAAGTCAGAAAAGGTCCCTATTGTGTGGACAACATGTAGACTGAAGAGCCTTTTACTGCAGCCCCTCTCTGCGAGATCTACAAGACACTAGAATTGTCTGATCCAAAGAACTGGAAGGCTTCATAACAGCCTTCTGTGCCATGCTGTCTAGGGCTGGCACCAAAACCCTTTCTGTGATATATAAGTTCATGGAAACACTCCTCTGTGCAGGTACCTTATGAGCAGCCCCATCACAGCCTCTGTGCTTCAGATAAGTGGTGCTGAAGGCTTTATGAATTTCATCTTCACAGCCAGTCTTAAATCAGGTGCAAAGGACAGATGTATATGACTTCAAGCATCGGGCATACTTCACTGTGAAAAGAATGGAGCCCAAAGCATAAGAAACCTGTGATTTTCTGTAATTGTCAGAACGAGCATCTTAGGCACTCCAATACTCCAGTTACATGATGTAGGAGCCCCAGTCAGGAAAACTAATTCATGTGAAGTACCCTTTACATTGCTAGGGAGGAATGCCTTTGTTTTTCATCTCCATGAAAACAAGACTGCATCTGTTTTTGTTTTTTTCTTGGCAGGCACATACCCATTTGTGACTTCATCAAACTGCACCGTGGGTGGTGTGTGCACAGGACTCGGTGTTCCTCCCCAGAACATTGGTGAAGTATATGGCGTGGTGAAGGCCTACACCACAAGAGTAGGAATTGGAGCCTTTCCCACTGAGCAGATTAACGTAGGTTTGACAGTACAACACCAAATGTGTAGAGCAGGGGTTGGCAATGATTTTGGCTGGGGTGCCAGAAACACCCCAACCCTGACCCATGCCTCGACATGGTGTGCCAGGAGCAGGCTGTGGGGGAGCTGCTAAGGGCCCGATCCTTGTTGATGGCAGTGGCTGCACATGCACCTCTGGGTCAATGGTGGTGGAGGGGCCGGGGTTCCACTTCCTCAGCCCCTTCCACGCCCTGCACCCCAAGGTGTGCATGCAGTCACTGCCAGCACGGAGTTGATCCCAGGGCCCCGGAGCCCAGTGCAACTGTTTGCAGCCTGCCTGCTAAAGCTTCCTAGAGCCTGGGCCAGCTGCACGCAGCTGCTCTGGGCTCCAGAGTCCTGGCACCAGCTCCATACTGCCGGCAGGTGCACATGTGCCTCAGAGTGGGGGGGGGGGGG